AAAAAAAAAAAAAAAAAAAAAAAATAAATCATGGGAAAAATCTGAGAGGCTTTCAGGCAGTACTAACAGCAAAAAATGAAGAAGTTACGAATCCAGGAATAAAGCAAAACCTATTGTTCTAAAAATTAAAAGTAGTCTGTTCATATAATCCAACCCAGGAAAATCTAACTCTGACTAGGCCCTCAAGTATTTAGGTAAGAAAACTGCACTAATATACATCCCCTTTTACTACCTTCTGAGGGATCTATTTATTGGATAATATTGTTTATACAGCTCAATAGGTAGATTTGTTCATATTCTACTCAATAAATACAATTTGTAGAGGTAGGGTATATGGGGTAACTCTACAATATCAGCTGCTGTGAACAAAATGTTGACTTGGGTGTGGCTAGCAAAATTGTTTGTAGTTTGCTAAACTTTCAAAGTACCTCCAGAAGCATCGTAACTGTGGATTAGATGATAAATCGAGACTTGCGACTACATTCACGTGTCTTTTAACTCCATGGCTGAACAAGGAACACTTACCTTTCATGCGCCTTCATCATTCTTTTCTTTTCTATTTTTTTTGCTGAGGAAGATTCGCCCTGAGCTAACATCTGTTATCAATCTTCTTCTTTTTTTGGTATGTGAGCCGCTGCCAGCATGGCCACTGACAAGTGGTGTAGGTCTGCACCGGGAAACTGAACCCGGGCTGCTGAAGCAGAGCGTGCCGAACTTAACTACTAGGCCACCAGGGATGGCCCACGTTCATCATTCTTTATATACTTGTGAATACAGTACAGGGGTCAGCAAACTACAGCCTATGGACCAAATTCAGCCCCCTGCCTGTCTTTGTATATAAAATGTTTTATTGCAGCACAGGCATGCTCATCTGTTTATGTATTATCCATGGTGCTTTTGCACAATGCTAGCAAAGTTTAGTTGCAACAGAGACTTTATGGTCTACAAAACCTGAAATATTTACTTTATGGTCTACAAAACCTAAAATATTTCTATTTACTTAACAGAAAAAGTTTGCCAACCCCTGATATAGTACAAACTTGAAACCCCCTAGGTGTGGAATGAGAACCAGAATACAGAAACCCCATACCTACTAACAAAGTGGGAGCCAACACCAACGCAACTTAAGAAATAGGTTCTTGGTCTGAAGAACTTTTACTATTCTACACGTGAAAATGTTTACAAATGAGAAAAGGTACTTAGAAGAAAATATGGCTGCCTAAGGCCCTACAAATTATACTGCTTTGAAAATCTCTTTTTAGTGGTATGGAATCTATGAGTAAGAGATATAAGCTTCATCTGAAACAAAAACAAGTTTCTCCTACCTCAATGAAATCTGCTCGAGCTGGCATGTATCCCGCCATGTCCCGAGAAAGCAAGGAGTCAAAGGTAGGTCGAGGAGGGTCATCTGAAGCTAGAAGAATTTAGAGTTTTTCTTACTTTCTTGATAAAATATAAGCATGAAAAAAGTGACACAGAAATAGTCCTCATTTATACTCTGAAATATTTTTCTTTGTAGAAAGACAGTGTCTGAAAGAATAAATAAAATTCGAAAGATTTTTATAGATGGAAAAGTGAAGAAGATAAAAGTATTATGGAAACAAACTGATTTCTTAAAAAGGAAACTAAGACTTTGGGAATCCTATAAGTAAATATGGAGAAATCTCCTCTGATTTCTGCTTTCCTAACATGAGAGAAAACCAAGGATCTTTCCTTTAATATCACAGAACATAAGTACCTGTCTGTGATAACATTAACCTGTCTGCTTCAGCTACCTTAGCCCTTAGGACCAACTTCAACTTACAAATATCATCCAACTGAGAGACAAAAAAAACCCCACTGGATTTGGAAGTTAGCTGGAATTGAGTTTCAGCTCTAACATTCACAAGTCCCATGACCTTGCACAAATTTATTTAACCTTTCTGAATCTCAAGTTTCCTCATGAGTAAAACAAAAGCACCTGCTCTGCTTATCTCACTGGGTAGCTATGAATAACAAATGATCTGGGGCCAGCCCAGTGGCATAGTGGTTAAGTTCTCGATCTCCACTTCAGCAGCCCCGGGTTTGCGAGTTTGGATCCTGGGCGTGGACCTACATACCACTCATCAAACCATGCTATGGCGGCATCCCACATACAAAATAGAGAAAGACTGGCACAGATATTAGCTGAGGGCCAATTTTCCTCACCCCCCCAAAAAAAAAAACAACCAAAAACCAAACAAATGGGGGCTGGCCAGGTGGTGTAGTGGGTAAGTTCGCACGTTTTGCTTTGGTGGCCCAGGGTTCACCGGTTCAGATCCTGAGTGCAGACCTACTCATCGCTCATCAAGCCATGCTGAGGCAGCATCCCACACAAAAGAGCTACAAGTCTACAACTACGATCTACAACTATAAGACATAACTATATACTAGGGTTTGGGGAGAAAAAAGAAAAAGAGGAAGATTGGCAATAGATGTTAGCACAGGGCCAATCTTCCTCAAAAAAAAAGAAAGAAAGAAATCTCTTATTCAAAAAAAAACAAATGATCTAATGGATTTGAGAACAAAGCACTAACATCCAAAGTGTTACCCAAATAGGAGGTATCATCAGGCTTTGATTTAGTCAGCTATGGAACTGTTTCTAGGGAGTGTGAGGAAAGACAGGGCCGGGGGGAGGAAAACATTCGTATCTCATTACTTGTGCTCTGGGAGTCATTCAGGAAAGATGTCCATTTATAATACATCATGGTTTTGATTATGTTTTGTTAGAAGACCCAAGAGTCTCTCAGCCACATGAGATTTAAAAAAAGAAAAAAGTTCACTATTACTACCACAACCAAGTGAACAAAAATAACAAATTGCTTCTTGGACTTAAAACTAGGATGATTAATAAAAATGAGTCAAATACCAGACTCTCTTAAGTAACTAATATCTACAATCTTAGACTCTCCAAAGGGATTGTAGAAAAGGCTTGTAATCACAAAAGCATGGAAAGCTTGGTTCATTTTGGACATCTCACCTTACAGAAGCAAGCATTAAAGTTAATTGATATGTTCAAGAGCCTCAGAGTGGGTGGAACTACACACTTGATCCAGGCACCCTGATATCCATAATGGAACTCTGACCCCTGAAATACATTCCCTTTTTGCCCCATTACAGCCCTGACTCTCAATAACTGCCATGCCAACTCCTCCTATCTTTCATAAGCTCTTGAGCTGTCCAAATCATCAAACCAGTTTATCTGCTACTGCAACAGGGCCCAAGGATCTCTTACCAATACAGGGAGGCACTTACAGTGAAATGCAATGGCTGTGTCAGCAGTTTTTGCCTCCTCTGCTTGCTTCAGGTTCAGCAGGGTAGATGCAAACAGAGGGTTATTGATGAAATGCTTCATATAGTGCTTCTCACACTCTTCCTTGGTCTTGGTGCACATCTGATTGGCTACATCCTGCCTAGAGGAGTGTGAGGAAAAGAGAGAAGGAAGTAGTGCTCTCATTTGTAAACAATGATCAAAGCATGGTTTGTTCTCGCCTATTTCAAGTCCCATCCATATAATGTCTGGAATTTGATACCTCCAAACTGATATCATGGAGATATCATGCAGAACAATGAACAAGTTCAGCAGAACAATGAAACAAATATAAGCCTAGTATTGGTGTAATCTGATGTTCCAAATCCTGCTATTCCAAGATACAGAAGCAACATCTAAAAAGCCCTTTCCTTTCCACCAAAAGAAAGGAGGATCACTAGAAAATTTGTAAATTTCCCTCCCGAGGGAAGTAAGTGCTATAAATAAATAAGCCACCTCAGAACAGTCAAAATGTACATAAGTATAGTTTTACATTTGCATAATGTTTTATAGTTTACAAAACACTTCACACGAACAAGGATTTCTTTACTAGAGCTCCTACGATAGGCCAAGTACTAAACTAGAAACACTCATGATATAATTTAAGTTAATCCTGGTATTAACCGTGTGGTGTATTTACTATCTCAATTTCACAGATGAAAAAATGAGGCCCAGAGATTAAGAAACTTGCTCAAGAACACAAAGCACATAAGTGACAAAGCCAGAGTCTGTACTCAAGACTCTGACTCCAGCCCAGAAGGTAGAGAGGTAGAGGTGAAATCTCTCCAAGTCCCTTCTCAACCTCTCTGTTCCTCAGCACTTCATCTGTCCTTCTCCTAAAGCATTACTGTGCTCTGCTTTGTGCACTTCAATCACCTGTATATATATTTTGATTCCCCTACTAGACTATGAGCATCTTGAGGGCAGGATACATATCACAATTCTTAGCTCTAGCACCCTTACCACCAAGCCTAGTGCCTCAGCCACAGTAAACAGAAAAATAATAGTCTTTTTTGTGGTCTTTGTTAAGAGGGAAGGGGAACAGGGAGGATTAGCCCATTTTAGAGTGTTAGAATGGAAAGCAAAAAATGAAAAACCAAAAAGGCCAAAGATGACTAGCAAGCTCCTCATGAGCGATCAATTTTTCTACCTTTTTTGGTATTCCCCATAGTACACAATATTTTATGATGCTTTAATAAATGCTGAATGAATGAACACAAACAAAATGTGAACTAAACTCAAGTCTCCTTCAGGGCACTGGACATAAGAGAGGCAGCAGAGCATATGTTATTAATATCGGGACAGATTGTACATACTAGAAAGTCAGAACAGGGAAGATCTATTTAAAAGTCCTTCACTAACAAGCTATGTGATCATGAGAAATCATTTTAACTCCCTTCAGATTCTTCATGAACAAAATATATTTAACAATGCCTCTAGGGCCGGCCCGGTGGCGCAAGCGGTTAAGTGCGTGCACTCTCCTTCGGCGGCGGCCTGGGGTTCGCAGGTTCAGAGCCTAGGTGCACACCAACGCACCACTTGTCAAGCCATGCTGTGGTGGCGTCCCATATAAAATAGAGAAAGATGGGTGCGGATGTTAGCTCAGAGCCAATCTTCCTCAGGAAAAAAAAGAGGATTGGCATCAGATGTTAGCTCAGGGCTGATCTTCCTCATATACAAAAAAAAAAAAAAAAAATGCCTCTGCTATCTAGTTCACAAAATCAAATCATCATTGTGAAAGTACTCCCAAAAGGAAAGAATGAAAGTGATGTTATTATTAAGTACAGTGTTGCCTCCTAGGGTAACAGCAATGAGTACTGTTTAATTCTGCCAAGCTAGGACTAAGGCAGGAATCTACAAGCTAAAAACAGGGAATGTGAATAGGAAGCCTGTCAAACTTGAATCTCAGGTAAGCTATGGCCATCTACCTAAAGTCTGACTCACTTAAATGATGAGGGCATCTATAGCCAAGAAAAATTCATAAAATGAGAAAGGAGCAATAACTAATAAGTCTAAACTTCCCCACTATTCAGAAAGGAAATAACCAACCTTCCCAGGGTTGATAAATCCAAAGCGGCCTTTTAGAGCTGCCCAGTCACGGACCACTAAACAACCATATCCCTGTGAGGCATTTCAGCCTTGGAAAATAATGTGCAGAGGGGAGGAGGGCTTGTCTGTAAGTCATGGGTCAACAGAAAAGCAACATATGGCCTCCAAACTTCTCTTTCTGAGGCTCTTCCTTTACCCTTCAATAGCATCTTCTCTGAGCCCCCTAGGGCAGGACAACCTTTAATACCAGGCTCTTACCAATTTCCAAAGCCACAGTCCATGACAGCTTCTAAAAGGGCCATTTCTTCTTGAGCAGTCCAGCTGGGGTCAAGAACAGGAAAATCTGAGGTCTAATGAGGAAAAAGTTTTGCCTAAGAATAGGTACAGAAATGGAACCCCCGCAACCCCAAATGTAATATTAATTTATAGTCAAATGACTTTCATTCTCATGGCATTGAGAAGTACGTGAAGTACATCCTCATTAGTCGTCCATCTCTCCCACTCCTATTTCTACCATTAGCTACAAGGGTCTCCAATAAATATTATCAACCATAAATGTCATGTAACTCACGCAGAAATACATATTTTTTAAACTTAGCACAAAAGTAGAGATAAATATTATAATACATTCCCATTTAGCTAAGAAAGAGGGGAATACAAATGTGTGTATTTACATCTTTTAAAACGGAAGAAAAAACCATACATTTAAAAAAAAAAGTTACCTATGGGGGAGTGAGGGAGAAAACAGTGAAAAAATGACAGGGAGAGAAGCCAGACCTCTTTGGATATTTCTTGTTTTGCAGATTTGACTTTGAAAACATAAACATTGTACATTAATTATTAAATTTTAAAATCATAAGAATCAAAAGCAAAATGTAACAAATAAATCTGTGAATTAATCTTAAGGCATAATAACACAGAAAGAAACTATCCTAAGTGACTTTAAAACCCAATAATTTGACTATATATCTCTAGCAGAATATACCTTAAAAGTAAAAGGAACTGTCTAAAAAAGATCTTAAACTGTTTTCGGTAGTGCTGGTATAGTGATTCTGAGACTATTGTATATGGATGTGTTATGGGGTAAAGCAAATAAGTGATTGTGTTGGAATCATTGGGCAGTGGCTTGGGGAAAAAAAGATACAGAAGTAAGATCTATGAGGTTATATAAAAACCTTGTAGTCTTGTACTTGAATTGAAAATTTTAGTATGAACTCATGATGTATTTTGTCTTAAAATAATTTCCTAAAACTGTTCAATAAAAAGGTCTAGAAATAACAAGCCACCCAGTAGCAATGAACACTTATAGTGCTCAGCATGCAGTCTCTAAATACTATTTCCCACTAAAGGAACCAGGGCTCCTTGAAGGAAAAGCTGATTCCAGGTTTGGGTCAGGAAATGTACAAGATGATACTGGAACATTTTGTCATATGGGAAAGCAAAGAAGCTCTCAAAGACTGTAAGGGTCATGTCAAAAGGACTCAGAGGTCAACTTATAGAGGCTCCCACTAACCAAAAATTGGAACAGTTTGAGCATTAATAAGGATAATAACTGCAAAGGACTGAAACACATCAAATATTCTAAATATCTAGAGGATGCCAGGGAACCAACTCATATTTTCAAAACCAGTAAATAAGGGGAAATAAGCAGGTATTTATCCTGCCTTTCCTGTACAAACTTTATCTCAGGGTGGCCACATAGATAATGATGAGAAGTTTCTTTTTATAGAATTATTTTAACTCATAAATTAAAAGGAGTGATAGAACTAAAAGATAACTATTTTGCAATCACTGATGAATAGATCTGGACAACGATCATAAATGAATCTGATATAGCCACTATATGTAACTACCAATTTATAAGAAACATAGAAGACCGAGGAACACGCTAATCAGCAAAATCCAAACTACACTAACATCTGTAAGTCAAACACCCTAGGTTTTTAAAAAATCAACTAAACTATAAGTAACACGAGAAAGAGTGAGGAAAGGGGGAGAGGGAGAGGGAGAACCCACAAAACAGAAAATAAGAGGCAACCAATTGGAATGTATGGATCTTATGTGTATCCCAATTAGAACAAACTCTAACAGTTAAAGAAAAAAAGTTTTATGATACCACTACACACTCAGGATACCCATTAGAATAGCTAAAATGAAGAAACTGACAGTATCAAAAGTCGACAAGCATCTGGAGCAATCAGAAATCTTATACATTGCTAGTGGAGGTGTAAAATGATACAACCACTTAGGAAACTTTTTGACAGTTTCTTAAAAGTTAAATAATTACGTATTCTATGACCCAGCAATTCCACTCTTAAAATATTCATCCAAGAAAAATGAAAATATATGTCCACAGAAAGCCTCATACAAGAATGTTCATAGCAGCTTTATTCACAATAGCCAAAAACTAGGCAAAGCCCAGGTGTCCATCAACAGGAGAATGGATAAACAAACTGCATTATATTCACACCATGGAATATTACTCAGTAACAAAAGGAATGAACTACTATACACAACAAGAATAAATCTCAAATACATGCTGAGTGGAAAAAAAAAAAAACAGAAACAAGAGTACATACAGTATAAATCCATTTACATGCAGTTCTAAAATATGCAAAACTGATCCATGGTAATAGAAATCAGAAGTGATTGTTTCCGGGGTGGAAAAGGGTGCAGAGATTTTTAAAAAAACTTTTACAAATTGATTGGGGAAATGTGAAAAGTGAGTTGAATTACTTTTAAATTTTAGAGAGATTTAATAAAACATTTATAGATGAAATGATATAATATCTGAGAGATTTGCTTCAAAATAATCTGGATAGGTAGAGGGTTAGATGAAACAAGATAGGCTATGAGTTGATAATTTTAAGAGCTAGTGACAAGTATACGGCAACTTATTATACTACGTGTGGTAGTTGGTTACAATGGTGGCCCCTGATGAACTTCTCCTAGAATTCATATCTTTGTGTGGTCCCTTCCCATTCAATATGGGCTAGACCCATGACTTGCTTAAGAGGGCCTAGCAGCTTCCACTTTTGTGCTCTTGGGAGCCCTGAACCACCATGTAAGAAATCTATTCTCCTTGCTGGAAAGACTGTGTGGAGAAGCCACATGAAGGAGAGGCCCCAAGGCTACCTAGAGAAGAACCAAGGCTCCAGGCAGCTATGATGTTCCAGCTAACTTCCCACCAATTCAAGCCATCCTGAGGTGCCAGAAGTGTGAAAAAAGCCCCTCGGACTCCAGCCCCAGCACATCTCGGAATCAAAAGCAACCCTCTCTGTGCCCAATCCGAATTCCTGACACACAAAACTGTGGGAGATAATAAAACGGTTATTTTAAACCACGAAGTTTTGAGGTACCTGCTAGGTAGCAATAGATAACTGAAGCATCATTGTTTCTATTTTAGTGTATGCTTGAAATTTTCTGTAAGTTTAAAAAAAAAGTGACACAAGAGGTCTTCAGATTACACAGGCATTCAGAAATTGTTACATCTTTTGTTAATGACAAAGAAAATCTCTGTGATGATTTGTGAAATAACACTACTAATAAGCAACACATTTTTATCTGAGCACATACAATGAATATGCCCAGCACATGAGGTACTACAAGATCCAAGAGAGAAATTTCAGTCTGTGTCTATATTAAATTCATAATAATCACACAATCTAGCAAGTACCATAAATACATGTAAATAAGACAACTCGTAGTTGAAGAGCCTATGTTATTTCTAAAACTGTATTTTAGAATATTAATTAGCCCTCACCAACTTTACTGCAAGATAAATGAGAAAGATTTTCTACACCAAAAAATAAATGGGGGGCCGGCCCAGTGGCTCAGCGGTTAAGTGCGCGCTCCGCTTCAGCGGCCCAGGGTTCGCTGGTTCGGATCCTGGGTGCGCACCAACACACTGCTTGTCAAGCCATGCTGTGGCAGTGTCCCATATAAAGTAGAGGAAGATGGGCACGGATGTTACCCCAGGGCCAATTTGCCTCAGAATAAAGAGGATTGGCATCAGATGTTAGTTCAGGGCTGATCTTCCTCACAAAAAAAATAAAATGAAATAAATAAATAAATAAATAAATGGGCATAAGGCAGTTTTTCTTAAAGTTGAATCAATGCTATTCAATTCTGGAACCCAATCTCGGCCCTACTAAACCAGAATCTCTAACAGCAGGGCCTAGGAATCTATAATTTTAAGAAGCCCTAAGTGATTCTTATGCACTAAAGTTTAAGAATCACTGGTATAAAGGGTGTGGCAGAAAAAGGTGCCTTGACTTGTTCAAGGTTCTAAGAATTATAAGACAAAAATAGGCATAGAACTCAGAAATCTTGATTAATGCACCACCCACCACAGCATGAGTAACTTCCAAAAATACAGCACCGTGAGATGACAAAAGTACTGAAAACCATTTAAAGTTTTCTGAGGCTTGATATGCAAAAAAAGTCAAGATTTTAGTGGCTTCATGTGTAAAAGCCAAAATTTGGTCATCATTCCTACAGAAGGAAAGACTCTTCTTCCCCTTGTTTGGGAATAGATAAGACTGGCAGAAAAAAGGGAGTGTTAGTAACCTCTAAAAGCTCCCCAAAGTAAAGGACAGAATTCTGAAATGTGTTTGTATGGGTGTTGAATATGTGAGAAAAGGATGATGTAATCCAAAGAATTAAGTGGACTTGGAGTAAAACTTAGTCAGTGCCTTCAGCATTACGCAGAAGGGATGGTGCTCAGAACAGCTAAAAAGCTCATGGTCAGCTTTCCTACAGTGGATAACCATCAATCGACCCAACTTATACTGAATTATCGTTTAAGGAATCATTCTCACAATTCAAATGAATAAATTTGTATTCTGGTTCTAGGCATTCTTGTGTGAATTTGGGAAAGAATAAACCAGCTTTCTGAAGATCTGATAACCTTGGTGAAATGAATTCAAAGCCATAGCTACTTTGACTACACTCTCCCAACTCTTCATTCATTTTGCAATTAACAAAAGGAAAAAAATTTATTCATATGAAAAGATGTTCCACATCATATGTTACCAGAGAAATACCAATTAAAACAACAAGATACCAGTATATACCTAACAGAATGGCCAAAATCTGGAACACTGACAACACCAAATGCTGGCAAGGATGTGGAGCAACAGGAATTTGCACTCACTGTTGGTGGGAACGCAAAATGAGAGTCACTTTGGAAGACAGTTTGTCAGTTCTTACAAAACTAAACATACTCTTATCATGTGACCCAGCAATCACATTCCTTGGTCTTTATCCAAAGGAGTTGAAAACTCATGTCCACAGAAAAACCTGCACATGGATGTTTACAGCAGCTTTATTTATAACTGCCAAAACTTGGAAGCAACCAAGATGTCCTTCAGTAGATGGATGGATAAACAAACTGTGGTACATACAGATCGTGGAATATTATCCAGTGCTAAAAAGAGATGAGCTATCAAGCCATGAAAAGACATAGAGGAAACTTAAATACATATTACTAAGTGAAAGAAGCCAATCTGAAATCGCTATATACTGTACGATTGCAATATATGGCATTCTGGAAAAGGCAAAACTCTGGAGACTGTAAAGCGATCGGTGGTTGTCAGGGGTTAGGGGAAGGGATGGATGAACGGGCAGAGCACAGAGGATTTTTAGGGCCATGAAACTACTCTGTATACTATAATGATGGATACATGACATTAGATATTTATACAAACCAATAGAATGTACAACACCAACAGTGAACTCTAACATAAACTAGGGACTTTGGGTGGTAATGAGGTGTTAGTGTAGGTTCATCAGTTATAATGAATGTACCACTCTGGTGGGGGATGTTGATAATGGGGGAGGCTATACATTTGTCAGGGCAGGAGATGTGGGAAATCTCTACTTTCTATTCAATTTTGCTGTGAGGCTACAACTGCTCTAAAAAACAAAGTCTAATATAAAAAAATCTATTCCAAGTCTTATAATTAGTGAAGAAACTATTTAGCAGACTGAAGGCATTTAGAGAGACGTAGGGGAAGGCTAGCTAGTTGGCTACCAAGAATTCTTACTAAAGAGCATTTCTTTGATTAATCCATTATGGACCAGTAACTGACTCTCAGCATTAAAGGCCCAGAAACTCATCTTAAAGAGGACTCCACAAATAATCAGACTCGGAGATGATGATTCACCCTTTCTGAACTTTTAAGAGACTGAAGTAGATACACTACAGTGCTGTGGTACGTAGAATTCTAAAGATGTCCCCCTTTTCCCTCAAGATTTCTGTCCCTTGAATATTCAATCCAATACTAACTAGACATTGCTGTGAAGGGATTTTGTTGATGGGATTAAGGTACTAATCAACTGACCTTAAAATAGATTATCCTGGATTATCCAGGTGGGCCCAATGTAATCACACGGACCCTTAAAAGTAGAAAAGAGAGGCAGAAGAGTCAGAAAGATTCAGCACAAGAGAGAAGCAGAAAGAGAGGTCAGAGAGATTTCATCAATAACCCCTCAAGGACTCCCTGCCATTGCTGGCTTTGAATATAGAGAAAGGGGGCCAGCAGCCCCTTGAGGCTGAGAGCAAGTCCTGGCCAACAGCTAACAAGGAAACAGTAGCATCAGTCCTACAAGCTCATGGCAGTGAATTCTGTCAACAACCTGAATGAAAACGGAAATTCACTGGAAGCAGATCCCCCCAGGGCCTCCAGATAAAGCCCAGGACACCCAACACCTTCATTTCAGCCTTATGGGACCTGGAGCAAACCAGCTGAGCCTAACGGTCTTCTGACCTACGGAATTGCAAGATGATAAATTTGTGTTGTCTTAAGCCATTTAATTTTTGGTAATTTGCTATGGCAGCAACAATATTAGAAAACTAATATAAGTGTCAATGGATTAATCTACAATGTGAAATTATTACTGTCAAGCAGATGCTCAGCCAGCATTCTTTCCTGTAAGAAAAACTACATGGGAGGCCAAATGTAAGAAAACTACTTGGTGGACTAGAAGTTATGCTCTGATAACTGACAAAACTATCTCAACAAAGGTATATATACCTGCCAAGCAGACCAAATATTCACTTTGCCTTATTAAAGTGTCCATTCCTCTGGCTAGAGCTTGGAGGGACACTACCAACATCTGCCTCCGATTCCTTCTTCAGAGGTGGCAAATACATCAATCAAATTTTAGCCAAGTCTTATTCTGGCTTATAAGCCAGTCTGTCTCTTCAAAGTGATTTTATATATTATATCATTCACTCTATGTTCATTTTATCAGAGGGTAACTAATTTCCCCAAGGCAAGGAGATGGAGTGCCAGACATAAACTTCGCCACTGCTCACAGGAACCACATAAAAACACCACTAGCCAAAACACAGCGACAACAACTTTACTATACGTTTATCAATAAATCTAAACAGTAGCATACCTTTTATTCTTACATCATTAAATCTCAAAAAGTACTTCCTTTAAATTCCTTCTAATTTGAAACAAAAATCTGAGTACATAAAATGATTTTTAGACTTAAATGCCTTAGTAGATCCATGAAACTCTAAAAAACTTATTGGGTAATGATTACCTAACTCAGAAAAGGAGGAGAGAAAAGGGAAAGAGATACTTGGAGATGAAGAAAAAAGACTAATTCCCAGTATAATACTTGAAAAGTGAACAGAAATTCCCTGCAACTTCATCATTACCATTATTTCATAAGTATGATCACTTTGATGTTTCTTGTACTCAAATCCTCGAGTGAAACACTGCAAAAGAAAGGCAAATTAAGTTAATCAAAAAGCTACTTTTTGAAATGCTTTCTTAAAGGACAGAAGATGGTTTAGGGGTAGTCTACTTGTGATGAGTCTTTAAGAATTCATTTAATCTTGTCTGCAGCCACAACAGGATGGGTATATTCATGATCACAGCTTTTCAGTGGCCCTCACAGATAAAAAACAACAACCTGAAAAAAGACTTTTTCCTAGGACAACTCCTCCTTTGATAAGAGCATAGCCCTGGTATCTGACTGCTTACATTTGAATCCTGCCTCCATAGTTACCATATTTCAGCAATTCTAAGACATCCATTTTTTCATATTTTAAAACTCTGAAATGAGGATTCATCTTATAATATAAAGCATATCACAACTTTTATCAGCCATTTTTACATTTCTGAAATTGGAATGCTTCTTATCACCAAAAGCATTTTGGATCCCATAAAGTATGGTATTTGCTGTGTGACCTTCAGCAAATTACTTAACCTCTCTTTGCCTGAGTTTCCTCTATGAAGTGGGGATACCAATCATACTTACTTCACAGGGTTGTAGTGATGATTTAAAGGTTAATTCATGTAAAGTACTCAAAACAGTGCCTGGCACAGAGTAAACACTTACAATTAGTACTATTATTACCATCATCACACACAAAAACATCATCCCTCGTTTGTTACCACTTCAAAGATCATTCTTCAATAAGACAATAAACAGTGTCATAGGTGCTATCAAAAGGAATAATCCTCCAATTCTGTTTCCTATAGTCCCAATACTTTAAATCTACTGGCAAAAACAGTGTTAAGCATTAGGTTGATACAGAGATGTGGAATATTCAACAGTCTATCTCATCCGTCTGCTCTATTCCCCAACATTTCACTGTTAAAATGTTTAATAGAAGATTGGAAGCAACAGATTTAATAAGGTATGGTCCCTCTGAGCAGCCAATAGTCATCTCTGAATTTACTATACCCATAAAACTAGGCTAGGAGAGGCAAGCCTCTACTTAATGAGTTACCTGTAAGCAGAGGAAAAAAGGAGGTGGCCCACACTCAGCACACTTGATATAAGGCTCCATGAGGTAGGAGGAGCAGCCTCGGCAAGGTGGCTTATCAGAGGGATCATCTAGAACAAACAAAAAAACATACTAGCTTCAAAAACCCTTGTGATTATCTTAAGTTCAAGAAGGTGAAAATCTGCAGACGACTACACAGGCAGTGCGCTGTGCTGGAAAGTTCATGGAGACAAGATGAGCTTATTCCAAACAAGAAAAAATAAAAATTATGTTCCTTTTTCTTTCAGGGCAGCTTTGTTCCTTCCTACAGTGTATCTACTGTTTCAAACAGCTTTAAGTAGATATGGCCCCTGCAGAGAAATTTATAAACACAATTTTTAACTGAAAGTTTCATAATACCCACAACTTATTTTTCCAGGGGAAAAAAATGTCACATACCTATACAATACATATATATTTACAGATTAAGCAAATCTGACAAAATGTTAATGATTGCTGAATCTAGGTAGTGGGCAACAAGTTATCACTGTACAGTTCTTTCAACTTTTCTGTAAGTTTGAAAATTGTCATAATAAAAAGTTTGGGGGAAAAAACTCCTTTAAATAGATGTCTTAGGATATACTACTTTATCTTTTTTTTTTTTTTTTTAATTTTTTTTTTTGTGAGGAAGATCAGCCCTGAGCTAACATCCATGCTAATCCTCCTCTTTCTGCCGAGGAAGACCGGCTCTGAGCTAACATCTATTGCCAATCCTCCTCCTTTTTCTCCCCAAAGCCCCAGTAGATAGTTGTATGTCATAGTTGCACATCCTTCTAGTTGCTGTATGTGGGACGCCGCCTCAGCATGGCCTGACAAGCGGTGCGTCGGTGTGCACCCGTGATCCGAACCCGGGCCGCCAGTAAGTGCGCGCACTTAACCACTTAAGCCACAGGGCCGGCCCCTACTTTATATTTAAGTTGGGATTTAAACCCAGGAAAGCTCCCTCCCTTTCTCCCACGGTAAGCAAAGAACATAGCAGACCTTCTCCAGTTCCAATGACAGTATTGTCTCTGAAATATTAAGGCAAGAGGTACAATCCAAACTCTCTAAAGTCATAAAAATGCAGATATGTGTGTCCCCAGTTGCCCCAAACTCTGCCTCTCTTGAGTCATGGCAACCTAGCAGAGCTGGTCTCTGTGATCAACAGCAGGAGTCTAAGAAAACACAGGCTTTGAAGGTAGATGAAGGGACTTAATCTGTTTAGCCTGGGGCAGGATTTCTCACTTTCTGTAATAGCATTTTCCTTCCTAAAGTCCAAGAAATACTCTTCAAGGCACCTTTCCCTCCTTCAAGTGGTGATTATTCTTTTCATTTGTTTCTAAATGAAGACCTGGAGGAGAATGACAGGGAAAGAAATATAATCTTTCTAGCAATAGCTTCAAAATAAATATATGGAATAGCAACTACCCCCCTTGTCCCATTTTAAATTTTGACATGGAAGAACAAAAATTGTTTTATATTAAGTGCTAGATGCCAATTTTTACCAAATTACCTTCTTCCTCACATCCTTTTATTTTAATGATATAAGCTTGTTTTCCTTTCCTCAGAAAAAAAATCAGTCACTGACCAAAATAAAGAGCTTTTAAACCCTTATGTCAAGAAGAAGTAATTATTTTGGAAGAATAATCCAATTTATAGTTTTAAAAATTTTAGACAATAAAAGCAGAAAGTATAAGTCACATTCTATTAACATTTTGATTTCCAGCCTTTCTTCTATATGTGTGTATATATTTTAACAAAAGTGAGATACTATAAACGATGTTTTGTAGCCTGTTTTTTTCACTTGACAATATACATGACAGTATACATAGATCTTCCTCATTCTTTTTAATGGATGAATAATACTCCATTATATCAATTATCTGACCTAATGGTTTTCAAAAAGCCCCTTAGGAAGGCATTTTGGGAATCGGAGATTTTTTTTGTTGCCACAATGACTAGGGAGCATCATTGGCATTTAGCAGGCAGGGACCAGGGATGCCAGCTATCCTGCAATGCTCAACACATTCTTATACAACAAAGAATTGGCCTGCATCCAGCACAACTTTCAAACATCCCACCAGACACCCAAGTAAGTGAAAAACCTGTTCGTAGTTACATGACCCAGAACCTAATTGCATATTACATATAAAACAAGATGTTTTTTGATAGTTTTAATATATATTGAATTTTCCAGGAAGGCAATGGCATGTACTTCTAGAGGGTTTTATCTTGTTTTGTTTGGAACTTTACCAAGAATCGTTCAAGGCTGTGGAATTTCTGAGTCACCAATACAACACACATGAATCATTGTGCATTTGTAGTTGTAAGATGCACAGTGATTCAACATATGGGTCCAAGCATCTGACTACTTAAGTCATGATGTCTTCTACTGTAATCACGTCTAAACATATGAAGATACATATTTTATTATAAATTGCATTATTTCATTATAAATTACTTCTCTTTTATTTATCCTTTGTATTATAGTTAGGGCATTATTACTTTTATTTTTTTGAAATCATATTATCTATGTATTTCATTGCCAAACAGTAAAAGGGGCTTTAAAAATATTATAAAAAGAAATCACTAGGTCTCAGAAAGTTGAGAACAACTAATCTAACCAGTTCCCTACTGGTGGGCATTTATGTTGTTTCTAATTTTTCACTATTATAAAGAATGCTGAGATCAACAATCTTAACCCACCACCTGGGAGAAAACATTTGCAAATCATATATCTAACAAGGGGTTTATCTCTAAAATATATAAAGAACTCACACAACTGAACACCAAAAACCAAACAACCCGATCAAAAAATGGGCAGAGGATATAACAGACATTTTTCCAAAGAAGATATACAGATGGCCAAAAGGCACATGAAAAGATGTTCAACATCACTAATCATCAGGGAAATGCAAATCAAAACTACACTAAGATATCACCTTACACCCGTTAGAATGGCTATAATTAGCAAGGCAAAAAATAACAAATGTTGGAAAGATTGTGGAGAAAAGGGAACCCTCATACACTGCTGGTGGGAATGCAAACTGGTGCAGCCACTATGGAAAACAGTATGGAGATTTCTCTGAAAATTAAAAATAGAAATACCATATGACCCAGCTATCCCACTACTGGGTATTTATCCAAAGAACTTGAAATCAACAATTCAAAGAGACTTATGCACCCCTACGTTCACTGCAGCATTATTCACTATAGCCAAGAAGCGGAAGCAACCCAAGTGCCCATCGACTGAGGATTAGATAAAGAAGATGTGGTATATATATTCAATGGACTACTACTCAGCCATAAAAAAAGACAAAACCCTTCCATTTGCAACACGGATGGACCTTGAGGGTATTATGTTACGCGAAATAAGCCAGACAGAGAAAGACAAACACCGTATGATTTCACTCATATGTGGAAGATAAACTAACACACAGTCAAAGAGAACAGTTTGGTGGTTAGCAGAGGGGAAGGGGGTTGGAGGTGTGCACAAGGGGTAAAGGGGCACATTTATATGGTGACTGACAAATAATAATGTACAACTGAAATTTCACAATGTTGTAAACTATTATGACCTCAATAAAAAAAGTCATTACTAGAAACACTAAAATGAAAAAAAAAAAAAAGAATGCTGAGATCAACAGTCTTGTATATATAACATTTCACATTTTGTTCCTCCGGATATGTATTTTTCTAGAATTAGAACTGTTGAGTGTATAGAGAGTTTTTGATACATATAGCTAAAGTGTCCTTCACAAAGGTATTCCAGAACTTTTCCATAACTTAGGAATAGAGAAAGGCTTTTATACCATCATTCAAAATCCAGAGACAATAAAAGGCTAACAGGGGGCAGGCCCGGTGGCGTAGCGGTTAAGTTCGTGCGCTCTGCTTCAGTGGCCCGGGGGGTTCGCAGGTTCGGATCCCAGGCGCGGACCGACGCATCGCTTGTCAAGCCTCTACTTTATATGGGATGCTGTGGTGGCATCCCATATAAAGTAGAGGAAGATGGGCACAGATGTTAGCCCAGGGCCAATCTTTCTCAGCAAAAAGAAAAAAAAAAAAAAAGGCTAATAAATTTGACTGCATAAACAAAACAAACAAAAAACCCTTTTGGCAAAAAGCACCATAAGCAAAGTAAAAAAGCAAATAAAGTAGAAGAAAATATTTGCAAACATATTGCAAAGGGTTAAAGTCTCTAATATACAAAGAACTTTTAAAATTAAGAGGAAAAAACAGACCAAAAATACTACTGCACAAGACATGAAGAGATAATTAGAAAAAAAACGATATAATAATAGCCCTTAAACACATGAAAAGACATTCAACTTCCTCATAATAAGAGAAATTTATACTGCGATATAACTTCTCACCCATTAGACTGGCTAAAATTCAGAAGCTTAATAATACACTTTCTTAGTAAGGCCGTGGGGAAATAGGTATTCTCATATATTGCTGACGGGAATGCATTAGAACATTATTTGTAATTGTAAAATACTACTTAGACGCCCAAGCATTGGAGAGCAGTTGAACAAACTATGGTATACCCACACAATGGAGTACTATGAAAATATTAAAAAAGAATGAGAAAATCTCTATAAATAATATAATATTTCCAGGAGATACTATTAAGTGAAAAAAACCAAAGTGCAAAAGAGCATACATAGTATGCTGTCTTTCCTGTAAGAAATTAAGGAAAATAAAAAAACCCATATATATGCTGCTTATCTTTGCAAAAAAGAAATAAAGGACAGGTAAACTAGAAAACAATCAAGTTGGACACCTGCAAAGGGTTGGGGGAAGGGACACAGAATGGAGTAGAAGAGATACAGAAAGGAGTGACAATTCTCCAAATTTATCTTTTTGTATAGTTTTGACTTTTGGAAGCATATTTATGTTCTACAATATAAAAAAATTAAATCAGTAAATATGGGAAGGGAAAGCTGAAAGCAGAATGAATAGATAAACCCAACAGTATTTCAAAAGAATACTATAACCACACTGAAGAAGGAAAACAAAAAAGAAGAAATCCAAGTAACTTATGAATATTTAACAGTATATCTTCAGTCTTGGGTGACACAGGGGAGAATTGCAAACAAATCCTGAACTTGTTGAAGTAGGTCTGTTTTATGTAGTGCTATGTGCAAACCAATTCTGAAATTTTGGATGACGGAGCAAATAAGTAAATGTGCTGATGTTGTTGGGTGCCAGGTTCTCACTGAGGAAAGGACATACAAAACAAAACAAGGCTTTTTTGGGGGAAAACAAAACAAAAAAAGCCTATGAAGATGAATTGGAAGTATCACTATGAACGCATGGTTTCTAAAAAAGTATATGTACGGCTATACGCATGTATATGTGAATATGTACTTTTCTTGATATGTATGTATACAGCATATATGCACATATATTTCCTAGCTCTGTGGGCCAAAAGAGCCAAGATGCAAAGACAATCTAGCAGCAATGAGCAATAACCAGATCTTGGTCTCTAACATCATTTCTCTCTAAAAGGAACCAAGGCTCCTCAGAGAAATGGCTGATTCCCGGGCTGGGGCAGAGGAGGTACAAGATGCACACGGAATACGTAGCATGCCAAAATGTAAGGAGATGTTCAAAAAAATCATGGGGGCTATGTCACAAGGATGCTTGAAGGGACTCACAGTGGTCAAATTGGGACAACCAGAGAACAAAAATAATTAAGTATGATAAGTATAAACCAGAGAAAAAATAGGAATTCATATAATAAATAAATTAGCATATAAGCAAGGGAGACAGGAGGTCTCAATTATAGTAGAATGTTAAGTGCTAACTAGTAAATGTGAATTGAGTGCTGGATTTGGGGTGGAAGATCATTATTTTGCAACCATTACAGTAAAGATTAGATCAGGCAAAAATCATCAATGGATGCTAAATCTAGAAAGAAATTTTGATGAGGAGCAGGATATTTTATGGCCTGAAAGTGTCTCTCTATGGGCTGCTTATTACATGCAAGGGAAAAAATAGAAATTATACAGTGGAGAACTCAAACAGACACCTTGACCGGGTTTTCAAAATTAACATCACCAATAAGGGGTAGAGTAAGACCAGACAAACTCAAAATGAAAAACCTCTATTTTAAAAAAGAGGGAGGAAAGGGCCTGTATTCTTCACAAGTGTCAATGTCACTAAAGACAAAGGCTGTTGAGATGTTTCAGTTTAAAGGAGACTAAAGAGAAATAGCAACTTAATCTAACACCTGACCCCTGACAGTAGCCTGTACTGGAAAGAAAAGAACACCACAAAGGACATTACTGAGTCAGCTGACAAAACTGGAATACAGATGGTAGGTTAGATAAAAGTATTTCATCAATGTTAAATTTAACTAAAGTTGATAACTTTCTGAGGTTATATAATAGAATATTCCTATTCTTAGGAAATAAACACTAAAGTACCCACAGGTAAAGGGCCAAGATATATGTCATGACATACCCTCAAATGACTGAAAAAAAAACATGGGGTGTGTCTATCTATAAACATATATATAAATGAATAAATATAAATATATACATACATAAATATATGTTTACACTCTCAGCATTGGGACAATTCATTTAGGTTCTTTCTCCATGTGTAAAATGAGAGATTTGAACTAGATACGTTTGAAGCCTCCATTCTGTCCCAAATTTATAGAGGGAGTGTGATGAAAGAGTAAATTAAAGCCCCTTTAAGAAATTGCTCAAGAGGAAACGACACCCCAAAAGTGTCTTTCTGATTTTTCTCATTGGGACACTACTAACATCTAAAAATGGATTTCTATTTCTATGTCTTACCTTCAGAATTCAGAAAAAGCAGTATATTGTTTTCTCCATAGTTGTGGCTGCCTGAATTTATTTCACACACACACCATAATTCTCTGCATTATTATTACACTGTGGTTTACTCTTAGAACCCAAGTTCCATCTAAAAAGGCGGGGTGGCATTTCCTTTATTCTACCACTGACTCTTTCCTATCAAGGCATCTGAAATATGTTATTGGTTCTAATGAGAAATCCAACTGCTTTTTTAAGTCTAACTGAAGGTTAATCATACTACGCCTGGTCCATCTGAGCTTAGTTTTCTTATAAGACCTAGGGTGATATGTTTGTGTCATGTGTTCAGCGGGCAATCAATAAGTATCGGTTGATTTTATTTTGATTTGATACTTTTAATCCTTTAGGATCAGATTCACAGAGCTTGAACTTCAAAGTGCTTATTTTTCTTCTCTGATCAGCTTCCCTTTCAGTTTGCTATTAATATTCACCTGGGACTTGTTCCCACAGTACTTACTGCTAAAGGAACCCAAACGGTCCATGCCCTAATTGGCAAAAACTGCTGCTTTGATCTTCCTCAATGCAGCGCTCCTTCAAGGAAATTTCAGAAATGGCCAACACATACACCAAAGCTTGATGACCCCTATGAACAAACAAAAGTGGCACATGGATCAGGAAATAATTCAAAGGGACAAGATAAAGAGAAGATAAGGCAACATACTCAATTCTACCACATCCTAGCTTTATAATGCTAAGCAAATCATTCTATATCTATAAGCCCGTTTCCTCCTCTGTAAAATGGGTATGATATAATAGCATCTACCTCCTGGAGTTGTTGTGACAATTAAATATCAAAATCCACATAAATAATATACCATAGTGCCTGGCCCATAGTAAGCCCTCTATAAAGGCTACGTACCTCCAATAAACAACTATTGGTATTCTCTGCCCAGCATCACTTCGCTTACCCCTCTTTCCTTTGAGAAACTGACTTTCCCACATTTCATATGGTTCTGGCGGGGTTGCCAATCATAATACTCCATCCCCTGCCCCCAGAGCAGCTAAAGCAACCAGATCTCTTCTTACAGAAATCTGAATCCTGAGTAAGACATATAAGGACACAAGGCAGTTGAAGCTCAGTCATTCACTAGTCAAAGAATTTGGTCCATGAGTTCTGGCTGTTCAGATCCTCATCTCCAAGGGTGGCTCAACTGTTTAGTTTTTTCCCCTCATTTCTCTTTCCAATAATACTTCAACATGAATGAGTTTCTGTTACTAGAAACCAAGGAATTCTATCTGTTATGACATACATTTGTTCACTAATTTACTCTCTGAACAAAATTTAATAGGTATGTACAATGTACAATGATCTTTTTTTTGTTGTTTTGTGAGGAAGATCAGCCCTGAGCTAACATCTGCCAATCCTCCTCTTTTTTTGCTGAGGAAGACTGGCCCTGGACTAACATCCATGCCCATCTTCCTCTACTTTATATGGGACGGCACCGCAGCATGGCTCAACAAGCGGTGCGTTGGTGCGTGCCCGGGATCCGGCCCGCAAACCCCGGGCGGCTGCAGCAGAGCACGCACACTTAACCGCTTGCGCCACCGGGCCGGCCCCTACAAAGATCTTCTTGAAGGCAGAAATGAAATCATATTTCACACTAAGCCAAGAAAACATCCTTCCTTCTTCTGTACTCCCATAGCTTTTCATCTTATCTCTTTTCTGGCATTTTTCACATTCTACTTTCTGAGGATTATTTCTGAATGCTGAAATTCTGAATTTCCCCCATTTTTAGACTAAATGAAAGCAGGGACTACATCCAGTACAAATTTGTATGCCTTAAAGTACCAAGCACAGAGGAAGAACTCAATAAACACAAATGTGATGGGCAAATGTTAGTCCTATAAAAGTTTAATTCATCTTTAGTTCTCCTGGAGTGACTTCTTTCATCTGATATTTTTAGCTTGCGGAATAATTCATCACTAAGCGTACGCAACACTCAAATAACACGGCTGTCAATGAACTGGTCTTTTTTGGGGGTAGGCTGGAGTGGGATGGTTCTCCCTCTGCTCTAGTCCCAGGAAAAGTTAGTCTTTGAAGAAAAATGAGTTTAGCAAGGGGTATTATGCGCTCAGTATAATAAAATAATGGCCAACATTTATTGAACTTTTCTCACATGCCACATACTGTGGTACCACTCTATGTGGATTATCTCTTTGAATCCTCACAACCTTCTGAGGCATGCTGCTTTTTCAAAGAAGGAAAGGATGTTCTGAAAGAATGATACTTGCACAACGTCTTACAGGTAGGGAACAGCAGTGCTGTTTCAACAGGTTAATAGAAATTTCAAGTAAAGGATGTAGACACAGTCTGGTAAACACTCCATGTCATAAGCACAATATTGCAATGAGCAGAACCTTCTGTTTTCCTCTCATTTCTTCTCCTGAGCCATTTCTGACACTAACATCCATGAAAGAACGGGTGCTAGCTCCAAATTAACATTTGCCACATTCAAAGAAGTTAGTGGGAGGAGGAAGGAAGGTACTGTGAAGAACAGCACTCAGTGTGGTGCAGAGGACAGGTGCAGGCTTTGGAGTTTTGCAGACAAGGTTCAAATCCTCACTGCGTTCCTTATTAGCTGTATATTCTCGGCCAAGCCATTTTACCTGAGCCTCAGACAGCCTCAGCTCTGAAACGGAGCTGAAATATCTACTTTGGAAGGCCTACTTGAAAACTCAATGGGAAACATGGGTCAGGGGCAGGACACACCGTGGCAGTTACCAGCGCAGTTACGCGCCCCATTGCAGAGACAGGAATACCGAGGCTGGGCTCGTGCGGGGCCGCCCAGAGGGCGGGACGCACCAGGCTCGCCGCGGGGCGGGGCCCAAGAGGTCATGCGGAGTCCCGCACCGCCCTCCCCCACAGCCGGCGTGGCTGGCGCCTGCCGCCTGCACACCCCCCGCGTCTCTCCGGCCACCGGAACCCGCAGCGCCCCTCCCGCGCCGCACCTCGCGGTCCCCGCCTCCCCCTCGTCCCCCTAAAGGGGCTCGCACCCGCCACCGCCCGCCCTACAGTGCCTCGTGCCTCACCTCGCCGCGTCCCCCTCCTCCGCGCCGTGGAGCCGCCAGCCGCGCGCGCCCCTGGGGCTGCGTGCTCGCTCCCGAGCGGCGCAGGCGCGAGCGCGCCGCGTGCCGCGCGCCTGCCACCGCCCCCTCGGCCCCTGTCCGGGCCCTCGCCGCGTGCCCGTCGCTGTCCTCCCGCAGAGGCCTGGGAGGATGGGGCTGAGCAGCTGGCCTAACCCTTGAGTCCGACCAGTTATCAGTTTTCCCGTGAGGCGCGTTGCCGGTCGCCAGACGTTTGCCGGTGCGTGGTGCCGTTTGATCCCCTCCAGAGGGCGGTGAGATGGAGCGGGCCGGTACTGTCCTGCTTTTGTGTTTTTAACATTCCCACCCCCCACCCCTGTTGCAGCAAAGGAAATTGAGGCTGAGGGACTGGGCCCAAGGACGGCGAGCAGTGGCCGCCTCTCCAGTCCAGGTCTTGCAGTGCTGCCCATGGATTAACCAGACTGACTGAATGGTTTAAGGGTAAACAGGGTACGTTTTATTCAGATGCTCCTGGAACGTCGCAATTACCTTCTTTGGAAAGAACCATCCCCTCTTTGGGCTTCAGAGGCCCAGATTGAGGCGCAATGATGAGATGATGTGGTGGGCCACTCTGATGTCAATCTTGAGGGCTAGGTATGTCCCAACATCTCTTATTACTACTACTAATTATAATAGCTACCATTTGTCGAGTATTTATTGCATGCCTGGCATTGTTCAAAGGAGGTTGTATACATGGTCTCATTTAATCTTCAAAAACAACCTTATGAGGTAGACACTATTATTATCCCCATTTTCCAAGTGAAGATATTTAGACTCTGGCTTTTAAATAATTTGGGATCATACTGCCAGAAAGTGTTGAGGAAGGTGATTCAAACCGTGGTTTATCTTAACCATTATGCTGTTACATCTGTTTAGAATTCTGTCTTGCATAAATTTGCCCAATGTCTTTTAGAATTCATTTACACATTCTGCCTGTGTGGCCTCTTTATTCATTTTTTAGTATATGAGTAATACAAGTTCATTCTAAAGAAAAAATCAGAAAATTCTCATGAGCAAAAATAATGTGAAAACCAGCTCCCACCATGTTAAATAAACAGTTAACATTTTGGTATACACTCTTCCAGAAATTTTCCTATGCATCATGTCAATAAATATGGAGTAGTTTTACATTTGATATATCCTGAAAATCTGTTTATTCATTCATTCAACAAATATTTAATGAGCAGACATTGTTCTAGGTGCTGGGAATTCAGCAGTAAACAAAACAAAGTCTCTGCCTCATATAATAGTGGGGGAGATTGACAATAAAGCAATACACATAATATATTACTAAATAAGAGATAATGCCCAGTAATCTGGCAGGTTTTATGGAAAAAAATAAATCAGGATAAAGGGGTAAGAGTGATGTGGGGTGCTCTTTTAGATGGAGTAGACAAGGAAGGCCCCTTAATGGCACATAAGCAGAAATCTAATCATTAAATGAGAGAGGCAGCTATGTGGATTTCTAGAGGAAAACTATTCTAGAAGAGAAACAGCAATTGCAATGGCCCTGGGATAGAGACTTGCTTGACATGTTGGAGAAGTAGCAAGGAGACCAGTGTGGCTAGAGCACAGCAAATTAGAGAAATAAGTTGGGAAACAGGCAGAAGCCAGATCATGTATCGTCTGGTAAGCCATGGGTGGACTTTGGATTTTATTGGGATGTGATAGACTACCATGGAAGGGTGGAGAGGAAAGGAGTAATCAGATTTGTTTTAAAAGGATCATTCTGGCAGCTGTGTAGAGAATAAATGGTAGAAACATTAAAATTGCCCTTTAAAGCATAAATTGTCCTTTTACACAGCAGTTCAACAGATTGTTTATTAACATTGGTATTTCACATACATCTTTACAACCACTCTCACCTCCACAAAGAAGAAATAGGGTCAAACACTTAGGATATCTTCATGTCTTTCTCATCTAAACTGAAAATTTTCAAGCCTGACTAGGGCATATATCCAGATCTGGACGTCACGATTGTCAGCAAACTGAATATGAGTCATCAGTGTTGTACTATTGTGGAAAAAACAACCTCACATAATACTGGAATCTATTCATTAAAAATGTAGCCTTTAAGCACCTGGAAATTACCCTTCCTCTTCAATTGATGTTAGGCCCTCAGAATTCTAGGCCCCAATTTAGTCATTGTGCTTAAGAAAGATGTGGGAAATTAAAATGTGGAGTGAGAAGAAGGATAACCCAGTGCTTTTCTGGGTTTTCACCTTAACAATGTAGTAGATAGTGGCATTAATTATAAGACCAGTTAAAGGGAAAGTGAAGGACCAGCTGAAGGAAGAACAGTTTTGGAGGAGAAATTAAAAGTTCTGTTTTGGATCTGTGTTTTGCAGCCCAAGTGGAAATGGCATATGGGAGTTGAGAGCTCAGAGGAGAGGCCAGGGCTAAAATTGTATAACTGTATTAGAATTGTTTCTTTGGATGTGTGTCTTCTTTAGACAAAGCTTGAGGACAGACACTGTCTTTTCTTCTTTGTAACCTCAGT